CCCAAACTCCCCGCTTACCTTGGCTGCAAGCACCAGCTGGTCTTGCCTAAAAGCAAATCCCACGCGGAAATACCAGGCATCGCCACTCTGGCAGCACGGCTCCCGCTCCAGGATGCTGAGTGCTGCCCAGCCCTTCCCTGCCAGCTCTGCCCCCAGCCGCTCCGGGGGTCCCACCAGCCCCTCCTGGGCTTGGGCCACCAGTCGGGTCAAGCTGGCCACCTGGCAACCCACCAGGGCTGTGTACAACCCGTCCCATCCCTGCAGGCCCCGCAGCAGCCGGCCCAGCTCTGCGTCTCCTGTCCCAAAGGTCAGCTCCTCTGGGCTGGGTGTCAGAGCTTCCCCCGGGATGCTCCAGGGCTCCCCCAGGCTCTGGGACTTGGCCAGGGGCTTCTTGGGTGCCCGGGGGGGCCCAGAGCTGGGACCCCCCTCCTTGTGTGGCAGCAGGGTGCTGCCAAACCATGGTGTGGTGTCGCTGTGGCGGGGCCGTGATGGACCCTGCTCCGGGAGGGACTCTGCTCGCTGCAGCTGCTTTTTTGGCAAGGGAGGAGGCAGGGGGTCATGGCCGGGCTGGGGGGGGACTCTCCTGGCTCCATCCCCTCGGCTGGCCTTGGTGGGGACGAGGTGGGCGCGCAGCTCTCCTGGGGAGGGAGGAACAGGGGGCTGTTATTCACACCACCGCACCTCTCCAACCTCAAAGCCATGCACAGAGGGGGGAATGGCTGTTGGGGGTGTGGGGGGGTAGGGGGTGGAACAGCATAGTTCTGTCCCGGGGGGGTGCCTGGTTATCACTCACCCACGTTGCTGTAGATGAGGGCTGAGGCGGGGGTCTGAGGCAGGTGTTCCCCTGGGGTGTCTGGCATGGTGGTGGGTGGTGCGAGGTCCCCCAGGTCCAGGCTGGCACAGCGGGTGTGCACTTGGCCCCCCGCCTGCGCCATGGCCCTGCACAGAGCTGGGAGTCAGCGCTTGCCCCCCCTCCACCCCCCAGGGGCTTCCGCTCCTCCCACTGCTAGCTCTGGGGAAGAAGAAAGAAAAAGGGGAAGCAGCAGCTGGGGCGGACATGGCTGTGAGGTTTGGGGGTAAAAGGCGGGGAGTTTGGTCTCCCAGTGACTCCAGCTCCTGCACTGGGGGTGCTCCTGTGGGGCGGAGGCTGTGTGGGTTTTTGGGTGTGCTGGTGCATGGCTACAGCCATCATTTCATATCTGCCTTGGTGGCCATGAGGTGGATGCAACGATGATGGAAAGGTGTGGGGTGAGGGCAGGAAAAGCTTTTGTTGCCCTACCTGCCTGAGCAGAGACAGGGCTCAGGGGATCCAGAGGTCTGTGCATGAGGAGGGATGTGCAGTGAGCCTGCGAGCACTGAGCAGGGACATAGAGCAGTGGGAAGGAGCCAGCCATGGGGTTTCACTTCTCCATCCTGGCCTCTGACCCTGCTGTTACGAGCGGTACTGAAACCATGTTGGCTTTCTTGAAACCCACCATTTTCTGCTGGCAGCATCCCTGTACAGCTTCAAGCTTTGGCACAGATCTCCGCCCCCGCCCCCCCCCCCCCCCCCCCTCCCGCCATGCATTACTCCCCTGCTGCACCCATGGGTCTTGCAGTGGTGCAAAACCTCAGGCTGGAGCATTCTTGCTGGGTTGCAGCTGGGAAGTGTAATTCTGGGACACATTTGCAGAGTAGTTTGTTGTTACCTCTGGTATTTTCTCGGCAGCGGTGGGGGTCTGGTGGGCTCCATCTCCGTCTCCTGGCACTGCTGGGGCCTCCTTGTGTTCAGCAGATGTACCGGCACCCCATTCTGGGATCCCCAGTGCTGGCCATGGCCTCTACTTGCAGGAAGATGTACTTTCAAAACACATTCCTCAGTGTCTACCAAGCTTAAAGTAAGTCCAAGGCTCGGTGTCACTTCTGAGCCATCCTTGTGTCACCCTGGGGTGCTCTGGTCACCGATTGCACCACTGTCAGCTGGGAGTGCTGTGACCTGCTGCACGTTGTTGCAATGTGTTTGCTTCACCCCTGCTGCTTGCACACACTTCACACTCCTCCTCCTGGGTGCTTTCTGGATGGCAGCAGTGCTGCAGGGAGGGATTTCTGCTGTAAAACCTTCCAAAACCCTTTTAAAGTCCCTTCTCTCCAATGGCTTTACACTAGATGTACCAGAGTGGTGGAAATATTTATTTATTTATTTATTTATTTATTTTGTCTGGGATTTCCTGGAGCTGTTACAAATCAGGAAATTCCCCCTCTGGTATCTGTCACCCCTAGGACAAGGTTGCTCTTTTAACACTCTAAAAAATGAAATGTGGGCTGTCTTGAATTGTGTCCCAGCTTTAGGCAAACCATGGGAATTTTGCCTGAGAGCCCCAAGGCTGGAGGATGAGCAGGCTTCAGGAGATGTGGCTTTATACACAGAAAAGGCAACATCGTCGGTATTTTTGAAGCTTGAGCTGGGACAAGACAAATGTCCACAGGAATGGTGGTGGGACAGGCTGGTTTTGGGGCTTAACTGGTGCTTAGCTGGTGCCTGAGGCACAGATAGCCCACTGATGGGGCTTCTTGTGGTGCATTTTACAATTCGCATTTCCTAGACAGCACCAAGAAACCTGCTGTGTTTGTGTCTGTTTGCCTGTAGTGCTCACCAAGCACAGGCCATATATTAGAACTGATAAAGCATGTGCTGGGGCTGAGCTGTATTTTAATCCTGATTCAGGAGGATGTGCAAGAATTTGGGAGGTGACAGCATGTGCTTCGTCCTTCCCGTGCTGGTTGCGATGCTCTCCCTGCTGGATGCAGTGGGCTCAGCTTCTGCTTGCACTGCAGAGCAGGAAGCTTGGCTTTGTACTCTCCCCTGCTCCCCCCAGGGCTATAGTGTCGTAAAAATAGGAATAGAAATGGTGAGCATTTAAGATTCATCAGGATTCTTGGCTTATTGATGGTGTTTGGCAACAGGGTCAGCACCTTTCCCTCATCTTGGTAAATCATTTACGTTAATGACTGTACAACAAACCATTCTAAACAACTGTAAATCTACTAGGAACATCAATTTTTCTCCTTAATAAATAATGTTACATTCAAGATAAACCAGGGACCATTAGGAATAAAAAGCACAGCATTAGTGACATGAATGTTCCCCTGCAAAGCTAGGGAAAAGGCATCAGTCAGAAAAACTTGCAGTGGGCAAGAAGAGACTTTGGATGTTTGGACCTGTGACTTCAGGTAAACACCTCCAAACTGTTACTGGGAAAGCAGGGGGATGGTCACTGGTATTTTGGGTAAAAGGGAAATTGGGCTGTAAATGGGTCTAGCATTAAACCACATTGCAAAATTAAGTCTCCAATTGTCAGCTCTGTGCCAACATGTCGATTCCAACCACAAATGGCAAACTAAAGATGGTAAAACACACCAGCAGCTGCCAAACGTGGTGGGTGTATCTCCCCGCTAAACAGAAAAAAAGTCACACAAAGATATTTTCTCCCCAAATCGCTCAATTCTAGCAATTGCTAGAAAATAGCAATTGCAGGGCACTGCCTGAGATGGGGAGAGATTTCCTCGTGGAGCACCTCAGGAAGCTGATTTTCAGGGCAGCAGGAGGGGTTTAGGCACCGTTGGCTGACAAAATTTGCTGACCACCTTCTGCCAAAGTTGCCGAGCACTCAGCAGCTTTTTGTGCCGGCAGGGCTGGCAGAGGTCACTGCCACAAAGCCCTTTGTGCCCCCACACTCTGCAGCCGGGGGGCCTGGGGAGCTGAGGCAGGGAACTTCTACTTTGCTGAAGTCTTTCTAATTTATAAGGAAATTGGTTTCTCATCCCAGCGGGAATAAGATCTTTAAATGCACCTGCTGGAAAATTGCTTCTTTCATCCTAATTGCCTTTATTTTTTTTGCATTTTTTTGGTTGTTATCCTTAATACCTGGCTGCTGCAGGGATTTTTCAGGCCCATCTCTGGTTGGGTTTCTCTTGGCTGGGGTCAGAGCCGGTTTCTCAGCAGCCTTGGTCATGGAGACTCCATCACCCCTAGAGCTGCTGCAGGAACCATGGGGCTCAGCTCTAGGTCCTGTGAGCACCCAGACTCTTCAGCACAGCAACTCTGACAGTGAGCCTGTCGTACTCTCTGGAAACATGCATTTATTATTATTTTTTTTCCATGCAGGAAGTAAAAGAAAACCCCCAATTTCCTCTTTTACACCCCAGTGTGCTCCTGCCCTGCCCAGCTGCAGAGGCCAAGGGGCATTTTCCAACTGGGACCACTGCTGCTTTGTTGCTGCTTGCACCCTGGGAGCATCCCTAAATCCCCACAGGGTGCAGGGTTTTGGGGTACAGGGGGGAAGGAGCCATCCAGGGCTGGCTCTTCCAGCAGATGGAGGCATTGCTTTGCTTCACCACCCCACAGGCACCCAGTGTCTATCCCAGTGACCATCCCAGTCCCACACTGAGGGGAGCCAGGGCTGTGGGGTGACCAAAAGAAGGACAGCCACCGAGCCTGGGAGTGCAGGGTAATGGGGTGTTTCTGGATGTTTAGTAGTCCCTTCACATCCCACTGCTGGGAACACAAGGACAGGTCTGCACCTGGGCAAGGGCAGAGATGCCAGCATGTCCCCTGGGGCCGATGGGATGGGGAAGGGAACCCCACGTACTCCTTAGAAGCAGAAATTTTCCCAATTCCCCCCAGTGCTGCTGGCTCCAGCTCCTTAGCCCTGCCACAGCACCCACCTGTGTCTCGGTTTCACCAGCCAGCGAACTGTGGTGCATACCCTGGTGCCTGGATTTCAGCCTCGTCAGAGGCATTTGGTGAAAATTCAAAGCTGTGCTGATAGGGTATGCTGATATTTCCACACTGCCCCTGGGGATGCCAGTGGACGTGGGTCTGTGGAGCCCTTTAATCCGCCCTCCTCCCAGTTCCATGCAAGCAGGAGGGTTGGTGCAAGGCTTTGCACCCATCGGCTTCAGGGCATACTTATAAACACTCAATTAATAATTAATAACAGATTAATAGCAGTGGCAGCTTGTTAACACATGCACATTAATCATTTATTAGTTATTAATATGAACTTTAGTACCCTCTGAAAGTTGTTTTAGCATCGTTTATTAGGGGTTTTACAGGGCTGGCAGTGGTGCGCACAGGTGATCAACAGGAAAGCCCAACCCCCCCAACTCCTGACCCCACCAGGGTCCTCACCCACTGCCCTAATCCCTTTGGCTCCATGTTTGCAGCTTTGCCCTGACCTCCATCCCTTAGCGAGTGCCCAGTCTGAGCAGACAGTTGTCCCCAGCTGAGCTCCAGGTGCTTGGGGTCTGCCCGAGCCCTTCTGCCTTGCTGGAGGCTGCGGCATGGATCCTGCACACAGTGTAGAAGGGACCAACTGTGCAGGTAGCTGTCTTACTGGAGGCACATGGGGAAGAAAAGGCGAAAAACAAAGCAAACAAACAAACAAAAAAAATCACAAAATCCTAGTTTTGTGTTTTTCTTTTCCTTTTTTCCCCTGCAAATAAATTTCACATGCTCATGACATAGAAAACTGTGCAGGTCTGCACTGCCAGAACCTTCCTTTGCAAACGGTGGGAGGTTTTTGGAGATTTTGTAAGCCTTTGTGCCTGACCCCTCCCACACACCCCCAAGGTAAAATAAATAAATAAATAAATACATAAATAAACAAATCAGACAGAGCAGGTGACGTGGGTGGGACCCCTGACACAACAAAGCATGCACAGCGCGGGGAGCGTGGGGGCACCTGGCATGCGACCTGTGGTGAGGATGATGGGGAGTGATGGGTGTCTCCCCAACCCTGTGATCCCCCCAGTGTGGGCAGGGGAAGGCACGGGAGCAGCCTGGGTCTGGTTTGAACGTGGTTGGGTGCTGTTTGGATGCTGTGGTCATTGACTCCGCCACCCCCTTCCCTCTGGGGACAAGCTGGGGGCCGAGGAGGCCAAATGTGTGCTGTGCCCATGGCACATCCCAGCAGGATGGGGTGCAGTTGAGATGGGGTGCGGGGATGACACAGAGTGAAGATATGGGGCCATAGCCCTGTCCCCTCCAGTCCCTGGCCCTTTGGGAGCTTGTGCCCAAAATTCATCCCCAAAAGGCCTGGGGGTGCCATAAGCCCTGCTCAGGCACACTGCTGGCTGCCCAGAGAGAGGGGACATGCAGGAATGGGGACAGGGATGGCCCCTTTGTGAACACAGGGAGGAGGAAGGGGGCACAGCCCTTCCTGTAGCCCCCCCAAGGAGCTGGGGCTTCTGCTACTCTACTTAAAAGGTACTTGAAAATGGGTGAAAAAGATAAAACCATCTGAAAGCTGCAACCTGCGCCCCAAGCATGGAGATGAGCTGGGGGAGTGGTGGTGGGCTCTACAGGGTCCCATCCAGGCTCTCTCTCCAGCTGCTCCTTCTTGCACCCCAAAAAATACATCCCGAGGTACAGCAGAGGTGGAAGAGCCAGTGGGGCAAGGGACATGAAGCTGGGACTGTCCCTGTGGCAGCAAGCAGGGCGCAGAGCTCCTGTCCTGTAGAATTCAACTTTGCAAGCTAAAGAAGATGCCCTGCCTGCACCCAAAGCTGCCTTTTGTACCTGTATGAGGACATCCCACCGCCAGCCCTGCAGCTGCAAATGGGACAACCCTGTATCAGGAGCAGAAATGTGGGCACCACCTTGTACGCCAGCCCTGGGAGCCCTGGAGCAGGACCCCAGCCCTCACCCCCATCCTGCTGCCTGGTGTCACCGTCCCTGCTCCCCACCAGATTGCCAGAGCTCGGTCCCAGCCTCACATCCCCATCAAGGCCATGGCTGGAGAGCGGCTTGGATGCATACAAAGTGGGGCCTGGCCTTGCTGTGTGACTGCTCATTGTATTTTGAATGCCTGTGGCCTCATTATTTTTTTCCCCGTTTGTTTCCTGCTCACACCCCCCACTGCCTGGCGTGGGGTAGGAGGGACGGGTGATCATTATTGCTTGTGCAGGAGCATACCCAGCACCCATTTTTGCAGCTGCCCCTTGCTGAAGCTGCCCAGGTGAAGGTCCCGTGGCATGGCCATGTCCTGGGGTCTGGCTGTGCCGGCGGGGGGTTGGGGGGGGGCCAGGAACACCCTGGTATGGCACCCCAGTCCTGCGTCGCACCGGAAGACTTTTCTTTTGGAAATTCATTTTAAAAAATTGTTGGAGGAAAAAAACAAAACAAAACAAAAAAGAGAGAACAACCATAAACAACACCAAGAAAGTTTTCCAGACAGTCTCTTTAAAAAAAAAATAAAAAGGGAAAAGGGAAAAAAAAAGGAAGCTTTTTTTTTTTTTTTTCTTTTTTTTTCCCAGGCCGAAATGCTGCTGATTCCATCAAGAAATGCATAGTTGGTAGCAAAAACATCAGCTACATCGGGAGCTGGGATGGCCCCTGGGCAACTTGTACCCTGTGGGGTCACCGTGGGGCTGGGACCATGTGGGTCCTTGATCCCAGACTCTGGGTACATGTGGTGCTGGCCCTGCTGATGCCCCCAAGCAGCAAGGACATCACCGGTGCCCCTGCACCCCCAGTTCCATCCTGCTGTACCCATGCCCAGGGCTGGGCAGCAGACAACATTTCTCCTCCAAAGAGGCTCAGATCATCTTCATGTTGAACTTCCTGGCTCCTCCTTGGCCCGTGGTGGTTGTGGGACCATCCACCTTCCGGAAGGAGTACTCCACCGAGAAGTTGTTCTTGTGCTGCCCCCGGCCCCGGCTCCACACAAAGAGGAGCAGGAAGCAGAAGAGGACCACGCCAAGGAAAGTGATGCAGCCCATGGCTGTGGAGACCAGGATGGTCTTGAGATCCAGCGTAAACTTCAAGAAGACCTGGGTGTCATTGTGGTAGGTGTCGTTGAATTCGCTGAGGTACAAAGTCCGGTTGGCGTAGGGGGAGCCGTCGGCTGGGTGCCCCTTGACCGTCAGGGTGGCAAAGTAGGTGTCGTTGCCCCCCGCGTTGCTGGCAATGCAGATGTAGGTACCGCTGTCCTGCACCTGGGCAAAGCGGATCTCCAGGGTGCCCCCTGGCAGCACGGTTGCTCGCCCTGTGCTGCGCGTGGTGATCATGCGGTGCTGGGGGGACACCCAGACGATGGAGGGGTCTGGCTCCCCGTCCGCCCGGCACAGGAAGGACACAGACTGGCCTTCGCGGGCTGTGACATGCTGCAGCTTTCGATCCCTGATCTTGGGCTTCTGGCAGGTGAAGTACTCAAAGAGCACGGAGTCGGGGAAGTCGCGCAGGGCGTTGCCCTGGATTTCAGGTGGTGTGGAGCACATGGGCTGCTGCCCGTCGAAGTTGAGCGTCTTCCGTCGCTGCAGGATCCAGAGGAGGCGGCAGTCGCAGGCCAGGGGGTTCCTGTCCACCCGCAGTGTCTCCAGTGTGTTGACGGAGTGGAAGGTGCTCTCCTCCAGCGTGGAGAGAAAGTTGCTGGAAAGGTTGAGCAGCCGGATTTGTCGCAGGCCAGAGAAGGCCTGCGGCTCCACAGACACCAAGAGAGCGCCCACAATGTGGAGCTCCTGGAGCCGGATGAGGTCTTTAAAGGAGCCCTTCAGCACAGTGCTAATGGGGTTGTAGGACAGGTTCAGGTACCGGAGGTACACCAGGTTCCTCAAGGCAGCGGTGGGCACGGCTGTGATGTTGGTGTAGGTGATGGAGAGTGAGGTGAGGTTCAGGCCCTGGAAGCTGGTGGGGGAGACATCTTCCAGCAGCGGCCAGTTATCGATCTCCAGCTGCAGGAGGTTGTAGAGCTTCTTGAAGTTTTGGTCCTCCAGTGTGGAGATGCTGAGGTGCCGGAGCCGCAGCACCTCCAGGTTCTGGAGGTAGGAGAGCGACTCGGCTGAGATGGAGGTCAGGTTGCACTTCTCGATGGTCAGCTGCTCCAGGCCGAGCAGCCCTGAGAAGGCTCGCTGGGAGATGTACACCAAGTCGTTATCACCCACCTCCAGGCTCTTCAGGTTTCGCAAGTCCTGGAACATGTAGTCCAGCAGGATGACAAGCTTGTTCTCGCTGATGTCCAGCAGGGTGAGGTTGGTCAGCTTGGTGAAGACTCCTGGGGGAATGAGCTTGAGCTGGTTCCCCCGCAGCCGCAAGGTCTGCAGGTTGAACAGGTTGCTGAAGGCACCTGGCTCCACATTGGTGATGATGTTCTCGCTGAAGTCCAGCTCCTCCAGCAAGGGGTATGGGGAGAGGTCCCCTGGGTTCAGACAGCGGATGCGGTTCTTGTTGAGCTCCAGGATCTTGGTCTCAGTAGGGATGCCCTCGGGGATGGCGGTGAGCCGCTTGCGGTGACACACCACTGACTTGATCTGCGGGGCGCACTCGCAGCGGGCAGGGCAGGCTGCCACCCGTGGGGAGCTTTGGAGGACCAGGTGGAGGATCAGGACCGGGAGCCAACATGTCATGGTGTAGAGCATGGTCTTACGGACTCTCTACCATTCTCCCATGCACCTGGAAGGGAAAGAGAGACGTGATGCAAGTCCTATCAAGATCATCAGTCTGTGGGCTACAACCAAAAAATGCCTCCATTGGAGCACCCCAAACCATGGTCCATGGCCCTGACAAGGTCCCAGTCCCATAGGAAACCCCATGGACCTCTTCTTGTGGCCTGGGGACTATGCCTTATGCAAACACGGGCATGAAGCAAAGGTGGGACACCACGTCCTCCTTGCTCCCTGTGGTGGCAGCGGAGGGTTCTTGCCTGGGGTCCTGCCCTGCCATGGCCATTTAGCCTCAGTCCCACGGGATGGAGGATCCTTGGACCCTCATGCAGGAGCTGGTCCTCCTGTCCCTGTCCCCCTGCTCTGTTCTCCAGAGTGGGCTGGGGGAGGCTGCATGCTGCGGGCTGAATCTTGGCAGATGACGGATTACCGCTGACCTGCTGCTTGCGATGCACCGGCCGCAGCTCAGCCGCTGCTGCCCTCCTTTCAGAGGGATTAGGACCTCATCACCCATTTCCCTTTTCACTGCTTTTCCCTTCCCTGCTCTCTTTTCCCTCTTTTGCCCCAAATCTGCCAGAGACACATCCCAGCATTGATGCAAAGCTCATCAGCCATCTCTCCTGAACCAAGCACTGTCATTAACCTAATTAAACAGCAGGGCTGCTCGGTTGGAGTGCTGTAGGCTGGTTCTGGGCTGCTACACGATCCAGCCTCAGGGTGCGCAGGGGGCTTCCCAACCCTCCTTATGCCCACAGCATGGGGAAGGATGCTATCTCCGTGGATAATTTCCAGCTCTGATCCTATTATACAATCTGAGCAATTCGCCAGCAATAAACCCATTGCTCAGTGCAATTTAGGAGCCACAGGAGATTATCTTTTAAAGACTTCTTTTTGCATGTCTTAATTTTGTCACACTTCCCTGTCTCTCCAAGCCAGTAGGGAAAGCATCACCATCATCCTCACAGCCACGGGCGGCTAGGAGGGGATTAATGCGGGGCTAGATGATGCCGAGCGGGGTTCCCTTGTGGGGTGGGATCGCCGAGCAACCTGTCTCTGCTGCTGTCCCCACATCCCAGCCATGCAGCTTTTGGGAGGCATGCGGAGCTGGTGCCATGACCATGTGCTCACGCCTTGACTACATCCTTTCGGTCCAAGCGGCTCTGCTCCTCCCCAGCCCTTGTACTTGCACAGGTGCTCACTCCCTGCCCTTGCTGGGCTGCGTGGGAAGGATGCACCCAGACACAACGTGCAGGAAAAGTCACTACCATTTATTAATAGCTTGTTACTGCGATACTGCTGCGTTCTCTGGGGCTTGCCTGGCCTCTGGGGGGTGAGGCCAATTAAGACTCAACTCAAAGGCCTAGATAGAGGCTTCTCTTTGCATTTAATTTGTTTTTAAAAATAACACACCTGCTGCTCACCAGACTGGGGAATGGAGCCAGGGAAGCCCAGGCTCAGCACAGTGCAGGCACAGCTGCAGGGCAGGGACGGAGAGGCTGGGCAGAGGAATAAAGCTGGGCAGAGACTGGGGAAGTAGCAAGGCTGCTACTAGCCATCGAGAGCACTTGCTCCTCAGCACCCAGGTCTCTCCTTCTCTGAATAAAGACCAGAAAAGAAGCTGGGCTTGACATTTCTAGGTTCCCCTGCTTTGACATCACACAAGTACAAACACTTCAGCCAAAGCAACGTCTTGTTTTACTCTCGCACCTACTTTCAGAATTCAAAATGGTCCTCCTGGGGCTGCCCTCAGAAACTGCTGCTCGAGGCCAGGCATGCGATATTCCCCGCTGGGCTCCGGGAGGGCAGCAGCACCCAGCAGCACCCAGGGGAGTCACCAGTCCTACGTCTAGCAGCACCCACAGTGCGGTCACTGCAGAATCTCTGTGCAGGATGGGTGCATGTGGGGCAGGATGCAGTGCTGGGGCCAGTGGGCACGTTGGGCAGGCTTGTCCCCCAAAACACTGATGCTGCAGAGAAGAATGACAGTGTTGGGACTGTGCTGTGTCCTTAAGCACATGCCCAGGAGGCCCCACGTGATTTCCTGGTGCTGGAGGCTGGAGAATCTGTGCACGTGCAGGGGAAAAGCTGTGATGTGATGGGAGCCTGGAGCCCCAGAGTGAGCCTCCTGCTGTCCCGCAGCTTCAGCATGGTGCCTGCAGACCCTCCCTGCTGCCAGCTTCGGTCCCTCCTCATGGACCTCAAGCCTTATGTTCCGACCACCCCTCATCCTTCCACCAGTCCCCCTGCTCCCAGAGGGGCCCTCTGTCCAATCTGGGCTGCAGAAACTGTGCAGCTGATGCTGGGGAGTGCAGGAGGGGGAATCAGAGCTGAGAATGAGGAGTCAGAAAACTTGGGGGTCATGGGAGGCCAGTGGTCTCCCTGCACGTTGTTGTGATGAGGCTGTAGTGATCAGGCAATTAGCAAAGCAAGAATGAGAATAATCCAGCTGAAACAGACAGGAGGAGAGAGCTGGGTGTAGAAAGCAAGAAAATCAATCACCAGATCCCATGGAGAATTACCTAACGGAGTTATTCCTAATCCCATCAGAGTCTGGCTGGGAAACCAACTCTCCCGGCTCTGCGCTCTGGCGCACACGGGCAGTTTTTCTAGGTCACTTCATTTCCAGGCGCTGCTCACCTGCCCAGCACAAAGCCAGCTGCTTCATCATTTGTGGTGGGCACCAGGGCCCCATCCTGCCTGTGCCAGCCCCGTCCTGAGCAGCTGCAGCTGAAGGAGCCAGTAAACACCCTGGAGCTGGGCTGGGGACAACGGGAAGAGCCTGGTGGTGCCCAGCTCATGGGATTGGGATCCACCAGAGGCTGTTCAGACATCAGATCTTTTTGACAACATGCAGAAATAGGGCGAGAAAGCATGGGAGGAGAGATGTCTGAGAGAAGACCTGCTCCTTGTGGGTCACTGCAGAAAATACCCCAAAGCACAGCTTAAAGGGGCCATTGGAAAACCACAAGACCCTTATTTAGATGGGAGTGATTTTGGTGACTGGCAGCTGCTGCATCTTATGGCTCCCCCCCTGCTCAATGGCCTCAAGTCTCAGGGCTGGCCACGGCAATGCTGGAGCAGCCAGGCTGCCCAAGCCTCCAGCAGGGCCAGGATTTACCCTTTCTGCCCAGCAAAACCCATGGCTGACCTCTTCCTGGAGCTGCCTTCCCCCTGTGCTCCCACCCAAGTCCTCCACAGCCGCAGGACTTGCTGCTTCCCTCCCACGTGGAAACTCCCAGCCCTCATAACTGCTGTGAGGACCCAGAACCGAGGATTCCCAAATGAGTTGTGATGCCAAGGAGACAACCTGAAAGAAGCCACCGCTTATTTTTAGAGACAACCTTATGATCGTCAAGCACGTGGCTTAAGCAATACTCTGCAGGCAGCCACAGATTGGCCACAATCTGCTCTTCTTCTTGATAGACATCATGTCTGAATCTCTATCTCCACAAGATGCTCCCCAGAGAGAAGACATTCAGAGACGACCACAGCGTACAACATTTCCAAAAGGTCACTGCTGCGGGTAGTGGAGAACGGAGCGCAGCAGCCACGCAGCAGTGCGGGGCCCAGCGGAGGTGGTTGGTATGCTCCCAGCATCTTCATTTCTCTCCCGAGGTGGGTGTCTCCGGCTGCAGGCAGTGACAGTGGTGGCCCTGGAAGCGACCCCAGGGTTATTTTTGGAGGATGTCCAGCACATTTTTGCTGTGTAATGAGAACTTTGCATTTGCAGAAGCCTTTTACCATCTCAGGTGATAGAAAGCGCAGACGGACAGCCCGTGTACCTGGGGCTTTCTATGGTTATTCCCCCAAAACTACACCACATGCCCACCGCAGCCAGTGTGGCACGCTCAGCTGGAGCCCCATGGAAGGGACAGAGGGAACTTGCCAGACCCCGGCCAAGCAGGGCATCCTGAGGCTGCACTGAGGCCAGTGACGGGGACACCCCACTACCACCAGGTAGGGAGCACCCCCGTCCTGCAGACACAGCACCCAAACAGCGCCCAAGCACCCAAACTGACGTGCTACCTCACCACACACCCTCCCAGGGAGGGGACCTTCCCTCTAAGGCAGGCAGCTCCATGATAAATGAAATACAGGGGCAGGATGATTAATAACCACAGAGGAGCAGCATACGCTGTAATTATCCACCTTTCAGCGTGCTGATAAATGGCACTGCTCGGGAGTGTTCGGACCCCCCCACATTCACCCTAGCTGGGTGCAGGGTCCAGCCTGGCCCCACTTCTGAGGGTATTGTGGCAGCCCAAGTGTGTGCTGCTACCCACAGGCTCTGCCCAAGCCTCCCTGAGGGAATTGGCACCCGAGGGAAGGGTCCTGACACAGAGTCCCTGGGATGCTGTGAGCCCTGGGCAGGGTGGATGGGGCTGGCTGTCCCCCACCCCACAGCCCCCCATGGGCACTGTGTGTTGGGAGCGAGCCGCATCATTGCTGAGGCTCTAATTGGACTGGATGGCTGGATTCATGCGCAGGATGAACAGACGGACAGAGCAGCCTGACAGACAGATGTCCGCTCTGAGGACAGGGTGAAGTGGCAGCCATGGGTGGAAAACAGCCTGAGGCCAGCAGGATTGCTCTGCTCTCCATGGAAAAACAAGGAGGGCATGGAGGGGTGGCAGCTGCCGATCCACAGCTTCCGACCTCCTGGAAAACCCCGCTCGGGGCAGAAATCCCCGGCAAGGGGCACAGGGAGCAGCAGCCACAGACTGCCTTCCCTCCGCCTTTCAGCTCTGCTCAGCGTCAGTCCAGGGCTGAATGCCTTTTTTAAGACCTGTCTACAGCTGCTGCATTTGAAATGTTATTGCCATCCCAATTACGATCATGGGAGCAGCGAGCAAAGAAAGCAAAATGCCGTTACAGGGTGAAATAACGCTTGACATTGCAATCTATCCCTCATCCTGCCAGGCAGGGGGAAGATCAAACCAGCTTCACTTTAATAGGTTCTTGGCTGGGGAGGGGTACAGGGGACCTTGTCCCAGCCCTGCCAGAGCCTTGTGGAGAGCAGCTCCCAAATCCACCCTAATCTGGGCAGCAAAGCCTCTGGCAGGCACCTGCCACCATCCGCCTCTGGATGGATGAGGCAAACTAGGGAAGGAAGTGGTATAAATTTGCGTTTCTGGGGGAAAGCACAGGATATGACCCTGCACTCAAGAGCTGCCCAGCCTGGGGTCTCCAGCTGCGCCACCCCAACGGCTCCTCCTGGCTGGAAGCTACAGCAAGCGGGGACATCTGGAGCACGAGAAGCTGGCATTGGTCTCCAGATCTGCAGCTTCAGGGCATTAGCTGCAGTTGTGGGACTGTGAAAGCATCTCTGTTCCCATCTGCAGCCCCAAAGAGGCTCCTGAATGCCAGAGCTCTCTGTGGTGGGAAGGCTGGGGGAATCCAGTCCCCAGAGCTCTGCCTGTACCTCCCAACCCAGGACTGTGGGGACTGAGCTGGTGAGCTCTCGAGCCCTTGTCCCCCTCTCCATGAAGCCCATCCAGACATCCAAGCTCCAGCCATAACTCCAAAAATGCCTTTCTTCAAGCCATGAGTGGCACTGGGGACCCTGCGGCTGCCTGTGCAGCTATCCAGAGCCCTTGCCAGCACTCATCATCCCCGCAAGCCCCAAGCCCAGCGCTACGCCTTCCCTCCAGTCTTTTCTTGCTCATTTTGGGGCAGCAGCAATGGGCAGAGCTTTCTCTGCCATTACATGGAGCAAACATCGAGGCTTCAAATGTGGTGGCACCGAGTGCTTAGAGCTGAGGAGAGGAGCAGGGAGTTAATGCCCTGAAGCATGACAGCCACAAGCACTGAGGGCACAGCCCCCCCAAGCTGAACCCCCCCGTGCCCCTCACTCACCGTTCTGCAGGTCCGGGGCTGTGCCAACATCTGTCTGTGCTGCAGTGTGCGAGGCCGAGGAGGTTTACATGGCAAAGCGTCGGGCACGGCCAGCCTCCACTCCTCTGGGTAAAACAGCACAAGGAGAAGAGCATAAATCCCCTCCCCGCAGCGGCCAGAACCACAAATAAATGCCCCAAAGGCCATGGATACAGAGCACATGCATGTCCCAGACAGGGGAAGCAGCCTTAGCCTTGCTCCACCCCGACGTATGATCTGGTCATTGCACCTCCCCTAATTAAATGTATTTATATAATCACATATAAATCACCCTTTTACAAACAGTTTCCGAGTGGCCAGCTCTGGAGTGCAGCAGGGAGGATGCACAATGCTCCCTGTGCGCGGTGACCTCAGGCTATGGCATTTCTGCAGCAGTGCTGCCAGCAGCTGCTCAGGAATCCTCTTTTGAGGGAGATTTGAGCCAAACTTACAAGCAAAAACCCCCGTCCTGGGTCCCTGCCTCTTGGGGTGCAGAGAAGCGTTTCCAGCCCCAGTGGCTGGCACAGGACACTGACCTCCAAACAAATGCCTTGCTACAGCTTTGCCTGCATCAAGTTTAGTTTGCCTCTATCAAAGTAAGAGGGGATTTAAGGTCTCCCTTTTGGGGGAAATATAGCTTCTTCTGGTTAACAAATGGCCCCAGATTTCAGGTCTGATTTGACTGCACCTGCAGGGATGCTGCCTTTCCAGCCCAGCTGCCACTTCACCCTCCCACAAGAACCCAGGATGTAGAGGAAAACACCAAAGAAACAAGGGGGTGGCCAGACCCAGTCACACACAGCTTGAACCCACAAGTGCTCCTGGGGACATCCCTGATGACACCAGGAGATGAGCCCAGGACAGCTGCTGGTGCTTGCGAGGCAGGGCTGTCCTCTGTACCTCCCTAGTGCCTCCTGCAAGCCCCAGCTCCACCTGGGCACTGCTCATGGACATGACAAAACACCTCTTTTGGGATCCCCGAAAGACCGAGCACATAGCATGCTAGAAAACCAAAAATCTCTCCAGGAAAGTATTGCTACCACTGAGCAGAAGATACAGCCACCTCCTGGAGCCAGCTGTGAGCTGGTGAGTGCTGTGGTGTGAGATGCTGCTCAGGGATGGTCCTGGCTCACCCCTGCTCTGCCTGGCTGTCCCCCCAGAGGATGAGCGCCCATGTTTCCAGCTGCCGTAAGACAATGCTATCCCAGTTACATGCTTGCAGCTCCCCTCATCCTCCCCCACATTTCCTTTTGGCAGTCAGCAGCATGAACACACCTGCATAAAATTAAACCTGTGCTTTGCACAAGGCCCCAGTGGGGATGCACGCCTCAAAAGCAGCTAGCAAGAAAGGAGCAGCACTAAAAAAATCCCCCATTAGCAATAACAGCAAGGAGCACCCCCTGCTCTGAGATGTGCCCCGGCATCAGCAGAGGGGTGCAGGGGCTGGCAGTACTCCCACACCTTCGCTGAAGCCTAGAGCAGGGGCGTGTTCATATTAAACCCGCAGCAAGTGAATGCCCAGGGGCATCAGGTGGGCAGCAGCCAGTGCCTAAAATACAGGCAAGAGCTCTCCAAATGACCTAGGGAGACCCTGCCCTGCCCTCAGTGCCAGCAGGTGGACATTTGCAGCACCAATGCCAGTGATGATGCAACTCAGCAAGGATTTTGTTGAGCGAATTAGTCCAGTGTATGTGATTTGAGGGATTATAACCTCACGAAGTATGGATGCACGGAGAGCTGTTTCTGCTACACGTTGCTAGCAGCTGTGGAGCAGGTGGGGTTCCTGTAATGCCAAAGTAATGTGATAATTGGGAGGGAAGCTGCCTTCCTTTTGCATTGTCACAACGTGTGAGGCATTTCCGTGCAGAAGTGAAGCACGGTGACAGAGCAGCTCGGCTCGCTGCTCCTGAAAGCCAGGCCTCTGGCAACTGGGGTGGATAAGGCAAATCCTGATAAGAGTTCCAGCAAGTTGGATGTGCCCCTGTATTTATTGCAATCCTGCTGAAACCAAATTGCAGCGAACCCGGCAGCTACCAAACCCTGCTCAGCAGCCGGCTCTCCCCAGCCAGCCTCTGCTCTCCTTGCAGGCTGCACGGCTTTGCCTCCAGCCCTGCACCAGTGCGGACGTGGCCCCTACACTCGCATTAGAAAAAGCAACTGGGCTTGGCTTAATAAACCCCCGCCTTCGTTACGCGAGCCTCTCTTTCCCACACATCTGAGAGATTAGGGTCTCAACTGATGTTCTTGGCATTTATTTTTGGTAACTCTTATGTCACTTAGCAACCTCCGGTTCAGGTTACTTCAGTTTTTTGTCTGCCAATCCATTTTAATCCCTGTGAAATGGGACCCATGAACGCGCTGCTGAAGTGGCCTAAAAGTGTCCTCTGGTTCCCATGTGCCCGCAGCTCCTGGCCTCTCATTGCCATCCACCCTGGGTCTCGTCCTGCTGCCCAGCCTGGGGCAGGAGTGCACAGGGGCGCACAGAAGCACACTGGGAACAAACAGAAGTATGCGGGAGCACACAGACAGAGCCTGCAGCAAACACCACCAGGCAGCAGGCCCGGAGCCCTCAGGCTGCTGCAGGAGCCTCATTCTCCTCCTCCCAGCACGACCCCACTCACCCGGCACCGCTGCCCCACAGCACTGCAGCCAGGACCACAAAGCACATTGCAGTAAGCCAGAGACTTTCCTCATTAGTGTAATTAATGTCAGAGTTCCCAGCTGGCCAGGCTTCTGGCTGACCTTTACTTCAAGAGATGTGAACAACAAAAATGACTCAACACGGGGGTGATGTTGTGGGCTGCTCATTTGAAAGCATCAGTGAAATTGTCTTAGTGACGTGCCCCCAAAAGAGGAGCCCGCTGCAAAAGTAAAATGGATAATTTGGATATTTTGGAAATTTGGAAATTTCCAAATAATTTGGAAAATTATAATTTGGAAAACCACTGTGGGGAGGAGGGAAAAAATTTTGGAAAATTATAATTTGGAAAACCACTGTGGGGAGGAGGGGAAAAAACCTCTGCTCTGTCCATCCAAAGAAGTAGCCTGGCTGGCACCCAGCATTTGCTTGTGGGCTTGGGGTGATAGGAAGGAGAGAACGGAAGAGGTGGGAAGTGGAGGGAGAGCAGTGTGGTTCTGAGTTTTGGGACAGGGGGACATCGTCGTGCTGGAGCCAGCTCTAGCGGTGATGCTGCAGGAGCAAAGCCCAGCATCCAGCGCAATGGGGATGGCTCCGTCACGTCCTTAACTCGTGGGCCACAACAAGCCACAAGCCAGCAAGGAGACAAATGCAAACTCCTGTCAGATCTCAACTCCATCATGACCACCGCAACAAACAACCTGGCCCTGGGTTGCCAGATGTTTGTGTGAGGCCCAGACATAGCCAGCCCCAGCAGCATGCATGCCCCTGAGCCCTGAGCACACCCCTGCTGCACTACCCCACAAGCAGACCCGAGGTGACGTCCCCACAGCGCCGTGTGTACAGGAGCTGGGATTAACGAAGACAGGATGGTTCTGTCTTTTTTTTTCTCCTCCCCTCCATTTGTCACACTCAGTTAATACTCCTGCTTCTGGAAAAAGGTCACAATTTAGATCTCATTTATGTCACTTCATCTGTGGTTTACAAGTGCAGGGTCCTGCTCGTTTTGCTGCCCTAATTAGAGCTCAGTTACTGGGGTCCTGCTCTACCTCTCCACACTGCTGTGATGTAGGGAGAAGAGGTGGAGGTCTTGGCTGTGCAACCCTGACAAGGCTGCCCATGAGGAGATGCCCCTTGAAAAGCTGACCCGAGGCCAGCCTCTTCCCTCTGGCAGCATGGAGGGAACCAGATGCACTTTCCTTACAACGCGATTTAAGTGGAAAAATACAAAATATTGTTCATTCTGGCTCTGTTGAAGGGTTGGCATCCAGGTGGCCAGAACAGGGAGAAAAGGCAGAGCAGGTGACTGGTGGGTGAAAGAGGGCATCAGAGCCAGCTGTCCAGGCTTCTGGATCTGGCCCCGCAGGCGCAGGGATGCAAACAGGACAGCGAGGTGTGGAGACACACATGGCCACAGGGAGCAAGAAGCTGCGCAGCAATGTCCCCATGCACCACAGGAATTTGTGGGTCTGTCCCTTTGCCAAACATCATGTCCAGCACTTCAGCACGACGTCCCCCTTGTCCTTGCCCCAGTCCTGCGGGCTGTTAAGGGGTGTCTACATTTTGGTGACAGGCTCAGTGCTTGGGCAGAGGGATGGGGACAATATTTGTTTCAAGTGTTCTTACATTCCCTTCCTATTAATTATTTTCCCTCCTTTTCATGAACCTTCTTCATTCCTCCGTATCTCCCTCTAGCAATGGTATCTGAGAGAAACAATGAATTTTTAATAGAAGGGGGTGGCATGCAGAGGGAGACCCTAAGGCAGAGATAAAAACCAGCAATCTATTAAAATAAACCCCATCATTGTGAAACCTCATCTTAGGGAAAAATCAAACCTGGAAGGGAAACACATGAGGGACCACGGGCAGGGACCAAAGCACCATGACCACGCAGAGTCACAGCCAGCAAGGAACTGAAGCCGTGGAGTGGGGACACGCTGCCCACAGCCCACCACTACCTGCCCAATGTGCCCAGCATCCTTCCACGGGAGCACCAGGATTTCCTTCTTTCAGGGGATGTTTCTAAGCTGGGCACGGCTGGGTGTAAGCATCAGCTCCCCCTCAGGGCTGTGAGCCCATTGTGCCAAAGGGACAAGGAGGCTGCAGGGTGTACAAGGATGCTGGGGGGTACAAGGATGCCCAGCTCACCTCCCCGCAGCGCCTCTGTGTCACACAGCTGAACCTAAATATAGCCCCCATTTTCTTTTCTTGTAGACACAACCAGTGCTCCGGGTGAAAGTCCTTTCCCATGAACTCACTGTTGCTTAATAAAGCACAAACCCTCCAAGACCTTGATACTGGAATCTGTCATTTTAATTCTTAGCAACACTTGTCCCTCTCCCCAGCGGTATGTGGCCGCTGCTATTTTGGCTGACATGCTGGGAGCTGAACAAGGAGCTCCGGCATTGCATGTCTGAACTGTTAAGACCTAAGCAAAAGAGAATAGCTGTGGCTCTAAAAACCAAACCAAACCAAAACAGAAAACCAACAACATAGGATGGAAAGAACTCCAGGTGCACAGACTCTTACCACAGTTCGGATGCAGCAGATGAGTCCCAGTGCGCCTGCGTTTGTGGATGCTGAGGGCATGGCACAGAAGGACAAGGCTGACAGGCACAGGGGCTGCACATCACAGCCAAGCTCATGGGGGCATGAAAAACTCCAGGGGATGAAGGCTGGCAGGACATGAGAACCCTGACAGAGGCAGTTCAGGAAAGAGAAGGGATGAAAACCCAGCGTCATGGGGAGAGCCTGCTGCTGGCACCACGCTGAGGGGTGCTCACTGGTGTGAGCATGCTCCTTTTTGTCATTTTCCTATTTTCAGTTAACAAGAGGGAAAAATCAGTCCCTGGCCAGGGCTGGGAGCAGCCAGGGATGACTCTGAGCTCTGACGGAGGGTCCATTTCCCCAACAGGTTGCAGAAACCTGCTCCAATGCCCACACCATCCCTGGCCCCATGTCCTGGTCTGCCCAAAATCCACCTCTAAAATCCTGTGGCATGCTGCAAGCCTGGGTTTCCCAAGGCCAGCCCAGAGGGTCCAAAGCAAAAGAACCCAAAACAGGAGGAACCAGCACATGCCATTGCTGATGGCTACCCAGTGCCCGCTACCAACAGACAAGCCGTGTTCCTGCATCCCCTCACCACGTCCCTGTATCACATCCCCAGCCCTGCATCCTCCCATGCACCACAGCCCGTGCTGAAACTGGCTGCCTTCATGAGCCAAGTGTTGGCTCTGTCCCTCCGGAGGTGCTGCGGGGCCGCCGCTTCTCTCACCAGCTGGCAGCCGGTGTGCCCGAGGCGCCGCAGCTTTCCTGGGGCTGTGCTGGCAGCCCCAGGAGTCAGCTCTCGCTGCAGGTAAACCCTACATAAATACTTTGAAAATAGCCTCCCGATAACGCCCAGAGCCCAGTCGATGTTCCTACCACGGCTGGCGAGACGGCAGCTCTCATCATCTTTTCCAAATGCTCTCGTGGGTTTTATTGCTTTACTTCATCTCTACTCAAATCTCTGCTCGGAACATTTCTGCCCTCGCCTGTTCATTTTGGTGTTTTTCCAGGACTCACAAAGCAGCACCTCGGGCTCAAACAGCACTTGTGCATTGGGGCTGGTGCAGGTCTTCCAGCAGTGCCTTTCACCTCCACACCGCAGCCCCTGCTCAGGGGTGGCAAAGATGCTGCTTGCCCCCTGCGCCCTTCTTGGAGTATTAAATCATCACTTTGCAGCTGAAGACATACACAGACATACAGCAGGACGTGGGCTGTGAGAGCGTATGAAATCACAAAGCCAGACCTCCAGAGTACATCCACGTATGGACAGGGAAACTGAGGTATGGAGCACATTATATGTATTTTTCTTGCATACCACCCATGCAGGGGGAGTGAATACAGTGTGGAACAAACTCAAAGACAGCCTTGCTCAGCCCCACTGCCCCTTCACTCAGCAAGGCAGGATTTGGAGCTTGGGGAGATGCTGCTGGTGATGGTGCCCGCCTGGGCTGCCCACGCCGCGGCAAGCTGACGGCGTGGGAATTACCGCTGCCCACACAAAACACATCCATCCACGTGCTTCACATTCCCGGCATTATTTCCAGGGCTATGGCAACGGTTTGCTCCCATCCCAGGGATGCAAATGCAACAGCGACGGAGGTTGTGTTTGCCAGAGGAGCCCAGCTCCTCCGGTGCCAGGATGCAGGCCCATGTCCTGTCCCGCTGAGTGGAGGTGCAGGGGCAAAACACAGCCAACCAACAACCAGAAATTGAAAAGGCTCCATCGCCTCCAACGGCAGCATTTTCAAGCCTCTAAACGCCAAGTAGCAAAGACACCCAGGCGCTCTTGTCCTTCCATATAATCAGGCTCCAAATTAAATGCTTAATTCAGGCCTGAAATGCTGTTTGGAGGGGAGAGCACAATGATGAGGCTAGGACCCTGGAACAATAGATGCGTTAGCATGTAATGCAAAGCTTGACGCTGCTAACAGAAGCAGACATTGCTGAGCTCCATACATAAAGCAGAAGGAAGCCCACAGCCCCGCTAGCTCCAGCAGGGCATCAGCAGATGCAATGCCCTGCAGGGAAAGGACAAGATAGCAACAGTGGTGCGGGACCCCCATACCCATGGCCATGCTGGGGACGTGGCTGGACCCTGCTGCCACAGGTTCCTTGCTCACCCTGGCACGTGAACCTACCTTTCACTCTGGGCTATCAACATGGAACAGCCCCTGAGGGTGAAAGATAACTCAGTGCTTTTCTCTCTTCCTCCAGCTCATTACTCCCAGAATAAAAGCAAAATCTGCTGATGTTTAAGCTGAAAAACAACTCTTGCTTGAAGCTGCTTCGCCTCCTGTTTCCCTGAGCTGGTGGAAACATGACTGCTCCCTACGCTCAAGTTGCTCCTCTCGTGCCGGAGAGCATCGCCCCTCAGCTCAGCTGTGCCAAGGATATGCCATGCAAACCAGAGTTTTACAATCTCTGAAACCCACACGAAACCCGGGGGATCGGGAGCCACCTCTGCCATCCCTCCAGCAAGCAGCTGTGCCTCCACTCTCTCCTCCCCTGCTTTAATAAGCACCAAAAAAATGTCAATGGTAAATAAATTAGTTCAAATTAAACCAGATCAATCACAGGCTGTCAAACTAGCAGCTCCCTATCAGGTCTTTGAGTTTTCTCCTGTTTAAAGCACATGCTCCATGTTTCTTGCCATGCACCTGAGCATTCTTTTCTCCATCTGGCAGTGCAAGGGATGCTGAAGCAGACCTTTGGGGTGCAGAGCCCTGAGCACCCCAGTGGCTGATAGGGCTGTAAGGCACAACCCCCCTGCTGGCATCACCTCCCGCTGGTCACAGTGGTCAAATGGGCTCAGCCGGGGCAGAGCTGGGTGGTGCAGCACTTTGTGCACGGGTTGTCGCAGGGTTCACCGCCTGCACGTCTGCGTTTTCAAGGATAGCAGCAGGATCTGCCCCGGCATGGAAGACACACACAGATACACTGCTGGTGAGTGGCCCTTCAGCTTGCTGGGAGCTGCTGGGCAGATCTGCTTTTACAGTTGACTTTTTAAAAAATTCCTGGTGATTTGATCACAAGAGACATTTGGAGGAACTTTCCCTCTCTGAATACAGCCTTCCTCGTGGCATGGCCCCTGCAGCTGGGGAAGACAGCGCCCGCTGGGGCGGTTTGCTCCTCACACCCGCAGGCAGCATAGTCCCCAGCTGGGAACTGGGCACGAAGCCGAGCAGCACATGGGAGCTCCTGGGAGGGCCTGGTCCTTGTCAGGCCTCCGAGCATCCCCAGCCCATCCCCAACCCCTCTTTGCTCCAAAGTATCAGGTGTGGATCCACGCACCAATATGCTGTGGGTATATTTTGCTGTGGCTCTGCCTGCTTCTGTTATCCTCTCTCCTCCCGTTTGCTCTTTTCCTTCCCCCAAACCCATGTCTGGTTCAGGCTGGGCATCAATTTAAGGAGCAGCTGCTCTTCTGCAATCGCTCCCTTGCGTGAACGCTGTGGGAATTAGAGCACCTTTTGTCAGGTTTTAGCTCAATCCACTTTGTAAGTGGATTAGGAAACTGGCACAAGAGTACTCTGGGTCTGGAGCAGGAAGAGGCAGGCTGCTATTCTGGAACATGATAGGAGCCGCGTATGCTGTGACTGCTGCCTGCTCCATTTCCCTGAGAAACACAACCCCGGTAACACTCGCGTTTAAATCAAGCCTGGGATTTTTGACAGGAGAATACACCTAGCCCTAAAATCGAGGATGCTGAGAGCGGGGACGGGCAGGGCCCTGGGGTGGCAAGGAGGACCCGGGGGGGAAACAGGAGCAGCGGAAGGTGGGGACGACCCTTCCTTAGGCCGGGAGGTCTGCTGAGGTCTGCCAGGGAAAGGCTGCGGGGGGCTGCGAGAGGCTCCCGCCAGCCCTGGCAGCGGGGGAGGCTGCAGGGACCGGAGCCTCAGGAGCGCAGGGGCCGAGGGCAGAGGCTGGAGGGGGGCACGTTCCGGCTGGAGGCTGCCAGAGGCACCTGCAGCTCTCCGCGCATCCGAGGGCATTCAAACCACCGCACACAAGCGACCCCCCCACCCCGCCGCCCCCCTCCGTGCCGAGCCCTCTCCCCCCGCCACCTACGGGGGGGCCTCGCAGCCCCGAAAGGATCCGGGGTGGGGTTGGGGACAGAGGCGGGCACCGGCCGGGAGGACCCCGGTGGATGCGCGGCCGCCCCCGGTACCCACGTGCGGCTCCCCGCGGGGCTCTGCCTGCCCCGGCACGGCTCGGCTCGCCCCCCCCCCGAGCCCCCCGGTACCCGCACTCACCGCTCGGCTCCGCTTCCCCGGCTGCCCATAGCGCGGGAGCGGCGGCGCGGGCAGAGCCGCAGCCCCGGGGGCGGCGCGGCGCTGAAGGCAGCGGAGGCTCCGGCCGGACCCCGGCCCGGCCCCGGCGCGTCCCCGGAGGGCGGCGCTCGGCGCCTCTCCCCCCACCCCTCCACCCCTGCCCGCGGCGTGGAGCCGCCCCCCGAGCCCCCCGCCGGGCCGGGAAGCCCCGGGAGTGCGGGGTAGGGGGGGGGATAAGGGATGAGAAGGGGGGATAACGGGATGGCAGCGGGGAGGGGGGGGATGCGCGGCCCCCGGTTGTGCTGCGAAAACGCAGGGGCGAGAGCGGGGTGCACGCCCCTTTGGCAAGGCAAGGAGGGGTGCGGGTTCCCCCCCCTTCCCCAGCAGCCCCCCAGTGCCCCCCCATCCCCCCCCCCGACTTTACGCCCTCCCCTCGCCCTTCGTCACCTCGCCTGGGCACCCACCTCGCTGTCTCCCTCTCCCCACTGGAGGCTTCATCCACACGAGTGATCGCGAACCAGAGAGGTCATTTTCCCCCTATCCAACAGGAGAAACTGGGGTGAACAGGAGGTAGATGGCTCCAGAAAGGAGCACAGGACCCCCACGTTCACAGCCCTGCATTGGGCTCTGCCATCCCGTGCAGCAGTGCTGAGCTCACGGGCAGCCCTGGTAGAGCCGGGAAGATGCTCAGCTCTGCACCCTGCCAGCACCCACATCCCATGTGGGGACAGCACATTCCTCCCCCGACCTCCCTGGATGCTCCTCTCTGATCCCACTAAAGCCTCCCACAAGTGGGGATGGTTTGGTTAATTAGGCTTTGGGGATGACAGAGGCCAATTGCCTCCTCAGGGCTGGTTTCCTTCCAGCGCAGAATCGCGGTTGCTCCATATCCAGCTTGGATGCTTGGTTGAGGCTGCTCCTTTCCAGCCCATGGTGCTTAGGGAGTGTGACTGCTGAAGTGCAGAGCTCAGTGCCCTTGATCTGTTGCGTGACAGTGGACAAGCATCACCTGAGCTCTTCAGTTACATTTTCTGCATCTGACCGTGTTTTTCAAGCAGGGTTTGGCAGCACATCCTCCATTTTATGGATGGGGAAACTGAGGGACAGACACGAGGTTTAAGGTGCAAGGCACAGCTCTCAAACCCAGGCTGATTTAGTGTCGTGGGCTCCCTTATCAGATGTTCTTGCCTGAATTTGCTCCTTTTGTGAGAGATGCTGCCAGGAGAAATGCCAACAGCTCTCCTAGCTTGGGTGTTTTATCAGAGCCACTTGCAACTTCCACCCTTCCTGCTACAGCCCAGCACTTCTGCTGATGGAGATTACTGTCTGCCTCCTACTGCTCATTTGCTCTGGGATGTGGATTTATAATTTCATTGCAGACACAGGCAACTCAGACTTTCCCATTTGAGCTTCATCCCCAGCCTCATCCCTGGATCTGCAGTTAAACCCAGCAGATTTACACAGGTGCAAAGGCATCTTGTTGCTGTTTTAAATGATAACAATTGATGTGCCTAATAAAAGATGAAAAATCCAAGCATGAGAAATGCAGATGTTTTATTTGGAGATGCGTATGTAAGAAGCTGGTGTGAGTGGCTCTGGAGCAACCTGAATTTCATTTCAATTCCCCAGGCTGGAAAGGTGATTCTGGCTAATTTGAATCTACTCATTAAGCCACTGTTTCAAAAACACAGAGTCAATTAAACCATCTTCCCCCTGCCCTCGCTCTGTGGGCCTGCCTTGCTCTTAATCAAGGGATGGGGGGAATTGCAGCATCCGTGTGGTGGGGAACAAACACTGAGCTGGTTTTGGCTGATGGAGGTGGCTGCCCTACTGCTGCCGGGTGGGGGGGACGCATGGCACGTGTGACCCCAAGAGCAGAGGGGCCCACAGGTGTCAGCACCAGCCAGGCCGGTGGGGAGCCCCTGGGGCAATGCAGGGGATGAGCAGGACTCAGGGAGGGTCTCTTTTCGGAGGTGCTGTTCTGAGCCAGCACTGGGAGCAGCTTGACAAGTTATAGTGCTTTCTGGGTCATTTTCACACAGACTCAGCAAAATGATTAAAATTAAAAACAAACAATAAAAAGAGAGAGAGAGAAAAAAAATCACAGCTGCTCTAGCACACACTCAAAATCCTGAGCAGTTTTTGGCTGAAAAGTGCTACAGGAAAAAAAAAAAAAAAGGGTTAGCTGCCTTTTGCTGCACTTAGCTCTCTCGCTGAGGAACGGAGCAGCTTCCCGATGGAGCCAGGGCCTCTCCCTGCCCACTGCTGCTCCTTGGCAGCCCCAGCCCCATCGGGTGTGCTGGTCCCCTGCCAGCCCAGATGCAGCAAGCAGCACTGCCAGCTCTGGTGACAGCCAGGGATTTTTTTTTCCCCCTCCCCCTAGGGATGCAGTGGGAGCCACGTACTGTCTATGGGCTCTTGGCAGTCATTAATTGTGCCTAATGAAACCTTGAGGAACTCACAGAAAGAGCTGCGATCCCCATGGCCAGTCCGGCAGATGGTGTTGGACCCCGCAGAACTCAGGGTGTGTGTGGGGGGAGAGTTCATTGGGATCTCCTTTGGCGCTGGGGGAGGGAAGGCTGGAGCCATGAGAGGGAGCACCCCCAGGGCACGGCCCCTACACCAGGACAGAGCAGCGGCAGCCAAAGCCCTGGCCATGGGGACCGGGGACAGCAGCATCCCCAGGATGATTTGTCCCGCCAGGGTGGGCAATGCCTGGCTGAACCCCTGCCCCATTCGTGCCCCAGTGCCTTTCCCTGGGAGCCCAGTTGCTGTTGGGGGGCAGAGAAGGGGGTTACTCTCCAGCCCCCGGATTGCTGGTCGCCAGCTTTGCAGGGAAACAATCATGAGTGGAGAGTGACACCGCATGGCCGGAGGCAGCAAGGCCCTGGGTGCCCTGGGGACACCAGCACGTGTTTGTCCCCTCCTCGGGCTGGGAGGATGGGAGGAGCATCATGGAGCATCCCCTCAATGTGGGCCGGGGTGGATGAGCAGGATGAGACCCTGCAGCACCCAGCTGCGAGATGCCACAGGCTTGCTCCAGCCGGCACCCCAAGCACAGAAGCACCTGTACCCATTGGTGCAGGGCTGGGGTTTGCACCCCAACATGCGGCTTCCCCCCACTGCATGGTGCCCATGTTCCTGGATTTGGGGAGCGCAGGACAGGGACAATGCCACCACCACCAACTGCCACAGCATCGCACACTTCAAGCAGTGTTCATGACCTCTGCTGCATGGAGCTGGTGGCGTTCCCCGTACAGAGCCTGACTCCGCGCAACTCTGCCCTGACCCCTGTTGTTGCTGTGGCTTTGATCTGCTTCAGAGCATGAACCCCCGGGGGAAGACATCTCACCTTCTATTTACCTACAAAGCACCGGGCAAACGTACCTGCTCTGCAAACACAGCAAGAGCTGATGACTAATCCTCGTTACTTTTATTATGTATTTGGTAACTAAAATAAAAGTTTCTTTGCCAAACACCTGCTGTTCTGAGCCGTCCCCAGCAGCAGCATGGTCAGGCAAATGGTCTTAATCCCCATGGGAAGGAGAAGGGACCTTTTCCCCTCCAACTGTTGTGGCTTTGTGTGACAGCGAAAAGGGACAGAGCGATCTGGTGCCTGGCTCTCCGCTGGCTGTGTTAGGGCCCCTGGACATCAAGCACTCAGATGTCCCTCCCAGCAGCCAGCCAGCCTAAGGTGACAAAAGGAGGATTTCCCCCATTCCCTTTATTTAGGGCCCTGTCCCAGTTCTTGCAGAGCCGCTGAGCACTGGTGCCAGCTGCCTTTGTCAGGAGCTCTGTGTGCTCAATGTCCCCCACAGTAATGTCCCAGCCAGTGTGCCCATCGCCTTGCCCTGGGAGGGACAATGCACCTTGGGGCCTTGACCCCTGCTGCCACCCGGTGCTCTGGCCCCATTGCAGGGACATTGCTTCTGCAGCCGCTTGCTTTGTGAGTGCAGGAGCCTGCACAGGACCTCGGCCCCATTGTTGCCAGCACCTAAGCGTGAGGCTGCTGATTTACACTGCTGCGGGGAGACCGGTGCTGCCTAGCTCATTGCTCATCCCTGCAGCTGAGGAGTGTCTGCTTGCTGTGCAAATGCAGGGAGGTGCTCCAGGCACCAGGACGAATTAATAGGAGAAATTGCTGCCAGCAGATGTGCCCCAGTTCCTTCTTCCTGCTGTAACCTCAGCTCTGACTGACGATGGGATCTCCGAGCAGCCTGGAGTGGTGGGGTTGGGGCAGTGACACTGTAGGGCTTGGGTCTGCCTGGGGTGGAGAATCCCCAGGAGCTGCCCCCATGCAAGGAACATCAGCCTCTGAAATCCAGCTCTGAGCACAGACAGCCACCGCAACCTCTTCCCCAAACACGCCTTAGCCTGTCAACAAACCCAAATTGCATCTTGCTCCAGCAGCTGTGCCCTCAGCAGTTCCCCACTGGGTGCTTGGCGCTGCAGTTATTCTGCACCAGAGTGAACGTCCCTTCCCAAAGCACCAACCATGGCTCAGTAACAGCAGCAATAACACTCACAAGCCCTACATCTGCCCCAGGGGAACTGGGGCTCAGGAGGAGCAGCAGCTCCTCGGGGAATGCCAAGGGGTGAATGAGATGGCTCCAAATCTCTGCCCTGGGGCTGGGCAGTGCCACATGTGCGTGTGGATTCAGGCAGTGTGCAGGCAGGAGCAAGAACAAGTGTGCTCATGGAGCAAGCCGGTGCTTCTCACACTCAATTTCTCTTCCTATTCCCCCTCTGGTGTCACTTCCCTGCCTGGTGCAAACCCCGTGGGATGGGGCAAAGGGGCCAGGCACTGTCCTCATGGGAACCTGGCAGCACAAAACCAGCTGAGGCCTGGGCATCATCGTGCGCAGCCTGGCCCTCCTGGTACAGGGCAATGTGATGAACTGCGCTGGTGCAGCAGCTTCCTGCAGGACACCGCCTGCTTCACCCCCTCTCTCCCTGGTTCAGCTGGAGGCACCGCTCAGTGGGTCCAATGTCCCTACTCCAGCCCTGACCAAGCCCACGCGGGGTCTGTACCCACGCATCCCATCACTCCCTACTGCTGGAGAGCTGGGGGCAGCCGCCCTGCCGCCTCCCGCCCCGTCCCCGTTGGGATGCATCCCGATGCGATGCAGCCCACATTCCCCTTCCTGCAGCTGTAGTGTGAGGAAGGCACTCCCGCCTCCGCAAGAACCCTGCCTGTGTTTATCTGAGCACAACATCGAATCCCTCCCGGCAGCTCCAGGCTCGTTTTCAAATGTCATTAGAGCCGCTTTGCAGGCAATTAGGATTCCAGGCACTGCAGTGCCTGGACGGCAAATGTGTCATGTGCACCTGTGAGACAGAAACTGTCCCTGGTGCCCCTTGCCCCCGTGGTCCCACGGCTGCCCCCATGCTTCATGCAGGCAAACCAAGTTCTCTGCCCTTAACTCATCAGCTCCAGCTGTGGCCGTGGCCTCCAGTGGCCCTGGGGTTGTTGGGTCACACCAGGCAGTGGCAAGAGGAACCCAACGCTGTGCCCGTTCAGTGCACTTGCTGAGCTCCTTGGGTGCTCACCTCCCTGCCTTGGGACCGAGGCAGCTGCCAGGGCCACCAGCCAGGAGAAGTCCTCCTCATCTATTTCTAATCACTCTCTCTCAACTCTGCAGCATTTCTGACCCATCTGTCACTTCACAAGATATCATCTCAGGAGAAAAGCTGCACTTTGATGTAGCTCACATGGGAATGCATCCCCAGCCACCACCAGATTTCCCACTTTGTGG